TTAAAACAAGCAACTACAGATATTCCAATCGATTGACGGATTTGAAATTACTCCCTCATCCTCTAAATGATTAATTCACCCCCAATGAACACTACACAATATGTTAGTCGTATTTACAGCATTTCACATTCAACCATCGTGCCTTCGTATATATCTGCACAAACGAATAATTTTTAAAGAATTATACGTATATCCTTCTTATAACCACACACGTGGAATAGAAAGCACTACAGCCAAAACGAACTGATCGAATATCGTGGAACCTGGGCATGGATGTGCAGGTCATAATATAGACTAAATGATTAAATTATGAAGTTTCGCATATATTGAACTATTTTAGAATATCTGTATGCAAATTTTAATCATTAATTACATGCCGCAAGAAATGAGTTTGAATAAATTCCACGTCTTTCTCCAACTCATTCTGGGTTTAACATTTCCTATTTCCAATAGTGTTGATATAATTGAAAACTCCAGCGTTCCTCAATAGATGTTGATGACATTAGCGCACTCAACGATGAAACTGTGTGTTGGTTTTTTATTAAACATTTAAAGAATAAAAGGTTTCAATATGACATCAAAAACTTTATTTGAATAATATAAAACCTTTATATATATATATATGTGTTAGTTTATAAAATAATACGATAAATATTAATTACCATGTCCTGATTATAATAAGACTTGTATTTGTTTCCTATCCTGAAATATATGATAGCAGTGTATTCTGCTTCTAATAGTTCAATATTTTATATTTTAAAATATCTTAATTCAATTAATGGAACCTCTCCTTTATATTCCTTCAATCTCCAGTGTGGTATTTAATATTCTGGCCAGTGGAAAGGTTTCATCCCCCGTTTGTACTGGTTTAGGTACAGCTCTATTCTTCACCTACTTCCAGTGTTCAACAGTTAACGGTGGTGACCCTAGTGGTTGGTGAACCAACACCTATTTACACGGCAGAAATGGCATTTGCTCCATTCCGATGTTGTAGTTATACCGCCACTACTCGGTCGTCAGAGCCCTTTCAGCGTTACCCAGGCTGCACCACGAGGAGGGTAGGGTTGACATTTGACTATGACATTATATCACACATCCATTAGCAGCCCTGAAACTAAATATAATGAAACTAAAAAATTCAAAATAATCATAATTCAATTAATTTTACTAGAAACCTAATATAATCTAATCCATTTAAATAAAAAATATCAATTCAAAAAATATATTAAAACAAAAAAAATCGAATAAATTGTAATTATTTTATCTAACATTTGAAAATAATTCAAAATATTGGTAAATGAATTTCAAAAATATCAAAATTTTGAAATGTTCCCTAATATTATTTTACATGTGAAACATATTTTACATGTGTTTAAAAGGTTTGAAGACTATTTATAACTAAATACTTTCACAAATATAAAGAGATTTGGTTTATTCATATGTGTATTTATAAAATTTCAATAGATGTGATATAATATATGATATATAATAGAGGAATAATAAATATTTTATATATTGTATAAAATATACCTGTATTTAAAATTAAGATCTCATAAAGTTAATAAAGAATATATAAAAGCATATATATATATTTTAAATAATATTCGTGACTAGAATAAAAGTTCAATAAAACACATCAGTCTCAAATATTTTATATTTATAATAGAAAAATTTGTGTTAATAACGATTTTTCTTTTATATAAAGATATTTTAATATAAATTTTCCATTAAATCATATATAACTAATTTTTAACAGATATTTTGAAATATAATTACTATATTTTGTTATAAATGAAGCATTTTTGTAAGGTTTAATTTCTAATTGTTAAACCATATGGGTTTGAAAAAGCAATCCAACTTGAATCCAAGCTCGAAAACGATATGCTATACCGATTTGATTCGGTTTTCGATAAATTAGAGTTAACTTTCAAACTAATTGGTATTTAAATACAAGGTAATATGATCAAATCCAAATAAATAAATAGTGTGTGACGTTTCAGTAACATTCAGTACTTTTGTCTGAAGATGGTAACAGCGCTGTTACCTAAACGTCACACACTATTTATTTATTTGGATTCGGTCTTATTACCTTGTGTTTATAATCTATAATCCATATTGTGCTTATCATAATTGGGAGTTATGATTTTATTATATGAAATACTTAAGTCTATTATATCCTCTGTTTGAAATTGTTAATATTCCTCAAAGAAGACAATTTTCAAGGAAGACTCAGAAAATGTACACCATTGATATGATTACAGTCTACTAATATCTTATAAAATATATAGGTATTTTTATTCAATATTAAGGAGTTAAATATATGATATAGAATATATTATAAAGGAATACCAGTCCCATTCAGATCAATTCATCTTCGATTATAAATATTATAAAGAGGCATATGCATAAAAAAAATCAAACATTTATATGATTTCTAAACAGACAATTTATGATCCCCCATTCCCCCTCCTTTCAAAAATTATTATTTGAATATAATAAAATAATTTAATATAAATTATGAATTTTTAGATATTTATGAACTATTTATTATTGAAATTATGAAATTTATCGAGATTTTTGACACAAATTATGAAGGTAAGGTAAAGGCAGAAAATAACTGCTTATTTCTATGAATATTTTGTGCAACCTTGAGGTACGTATGTATAATAAGAAAATTTTAAATTCTAAAAATAAATTCCAAAATATATGCTAAATTATGTCGTGAGATATAATATTTTTATATTTTGTTGAAATTTTCAGCGGAGAAATTACAGATAGCCAGCATTGATATGAGAGCTAAAAGTATTAATTAAGTTGCCAACAATACCGGGATTAAGAGGAAACCTAACAACTACTTTAAAAATAATTCAAATTAGAGTCTATAAAACAATATATGAGTGAGAAAATCATATCTACAAGATATCAATAATCCAATAGAGAGGAATATCTACAAGGGAGCACTAATATCTACAAGACATAAACATATATTTCGCACACTGAGTTAGAATTATATAATTGAGGACCACGACACTACAAGGATGTCACATAGGGAAGAAGGGGAATGGGTGCAGGAATTACATCACATTATTGCTAAGTGGTACACGTTCATCTCGACAGACTGCCGAGACTCTTTCTATAGTTGAATTAGACTTCCGATTTTATGTTTCTCAAATAACATGGGTGTTATGCTTCCCAAGTCTATAATAAATAGGGGACTCGGATACACAATAGGACATTTACAATTAGGGAATTTATTTTAGCACTACGAAACAATTGGAAAATAAAATAATTAAACAATTTTTTTAAAAATTCTTCTACTGAGATGGCTAATAGGGTTTAATTATTTTCTTAATGAATTTTAAAAACTAGTAGAGACATTTATAATGACATCACAATATCATTAGAACGAATCGGAATAGTTACAAATAAATACGAAATTTGTTCTTTGTTGGCAATAGTAATATATATATAACATAAATAAAGAAGAGCAATAATAAACAATTACTTTTAAAATCTACTCTCTATCTCTGGAATAATTTTCAAGCCAGAGGAGTTTCCTCAGGCCTTTTCTAAAACTACTTCCAAGATTGCCTAGTGATCCAAAAAATTATTTATATTTACATTTTTACTGATAGAATTTAGGAAAATATTTAATGTCAATAATGTCCTTAATCTTCTTAATCTAGTCAAAGCCATAAACAAAAGACCGTATATACAGAAATTATTCACTGAGATTCTTTGAAAAATATATTTATTTGAACAAATTATATATAGATTACCCATTAACGTATATTTAAGTAAGTTCCCGATGATTAACTTGTAGAAAATAATCACCAAAGAATTTCATAAAAGATATATGTCGCTATATTGTTATGAAATATTTGATTGAAAAAAAAGACTAGGCGATTTTAGAATGACAAAAATAATATTGACTTCACTTAAACCATTGTGGAAATGATTGCCAATATCTACTTTTCCTTATATTATTAATTATGCATATGCCATTGTTATCATATTTTATGAAGATGAGTCTGATAAAAATGGATTCCGTTTTTGTTTATTTATGAATAGAAAAAGTAAATAATATTATTACTGATTTGGTGCACATTTTCTTTAAAATTGAATTGACATAAGAATTTTCTAACTTTAGAGAAAGTCTATTATATACACTTTTTTTAAATTAAAAAGGTAAATGAACGCTTAAACGCCATCTATCTCTCTGTGAATTATAGACAATCATCTTTATTAGCACATCAATTATTTTGTTCTTTTTGAAAAGACAAATTTTAAACTTTATGTTAATACCCAAATCCTCCCAAAATTGATTAAACATAACATAATAATACGTATATATTTATTATAGAACAAAATTCTGAATTGTGATGATTATGATAATTTCATATTTTTCCTCAATGGGATGTATATAAAAGAGATACAATTTTTAGGCCTCTCCCGGATTCCAACAATAATTATACTTTATAATGGACTGCGGCGTATGATTATAAAGTAATACTTAAAGCCTCCCCGCATAAGTTTCTTTTTTGTGAAAATCAATATTAATTTCAAAGAGAAATATGTACTATTTCTAACCTTTTGGATGACGTATGAGAAGGTTGAATATATGAAGAGTAATGGTCTAAATATGATTGGATGACGTATGAAAGGGTGAAAATGTGAAGAGTAATGGCGAACGGAAAAATAAAAGTGTCCAGGGGCGGGAATAGAACCCACAACCTTCTGCTTACCGGGCAGGTGCCATGTCCACTAGGCTACCCTGGACGTATTTTTCCGTTCGTAACTAATACTTAAAGTAACTTTTTAATACATTATAATGGACTGCGGCGTATGATTATAAAGTAATACTTAAAGCCTCCCCGCATATTAAAAAAGGAAGAAACTTATGCGGGGAGGCTTTAAGTATTACTTTATAATCATACGCCGCAGTCCATATAATGTATTAAAAAAGTTACTTTAAGTATTAGTTACGAACGGAAAAATACGTCCAGGTAGCCTAGTGGACATGGCACCTGCCCAATAAGCAGAAGGTTGTGGGTTCGATTCCCGCCCCTAGGACACTTTTATTTTTCCGTTCGCCATTACTCTTCACATTTTCACCCTTTTCATACGTCATCCAATCATATTTAGACCATTACTCTTCATATATTCAACCTTCTCATACGTCATCCAAAAAGTTAGAAATAGTACATATTTCTCTTTGAAATTAATATTGATTTTCACAAAAAAGAAACTTATGCGGGGAGGCTTTAAGTATTACATAATAATTATACTTGTTTTCTTACTAACATAAAACCTTGTCCATTTCTGACAATTTTTATATTATCACATTTATATTAATTATAACATTAATTATAACATTCTGTGTTTAGCTGTTTCCCTCTCAACTATTGTAACATCTAATTGAATACATTAACCTAATCTAATGATCAGTTTGATGTTGAAAAAGTCAATTTATCAAAATGGATATGGATGAATAAATCACCACTCTTATTAATGATTCTTTTCCAATAAGAGCGATCGTTTGTGGATTCTTGTACAGAGCACTTAGAGGTGTTTATCCTACTTTAAGTTTATAAATGCTGTATCTGTAAAAATATTTATTTACTTTTGATCTTGATTCAATTTTGATACCTAACTTGATATTCTAAAGATTGTTTATGCTGCATTTATAGGGTATATAATGAATTCGATAATTTAAAAAAATTAAATTTAAAATAACTTAATATATTAATAATATTAAAAAAATAATATATTATGAAACCGTTTATTAAACGGTATTATAATGTTCTATGAAATAATATCTTTTGACGAGTTTGAGATTATTTTGAAAATATTTGCATTCACTATACTTCTATATTCTGATAATATATATATTTTTCAATTTATTTTTTATCTAGAAAAATATTGGTATTAAAAATATACCATAGTTTATAAAAATAGAGGCGATTAAAAATATACCTTTTATATATAAACAAATATTTTCAAAATATCATCTCAAACATCGTCTGAATCTTACTATTGGTGTAGATCTAAGCTTAGAGTTAAAATAAGATTTTTCAAAAAGTCATTATATAAATATTAATAAAGATAATTTTATAAATTTGTAAATGTTTTATATATAAATCGAATGACAGTTAATATATTTAGTATTGTGATTGCGAGAGCTTTGTTACAAATTAGAAATATTATTTTTACTATATTGATAAAACACATATTCAATTTAACATAAAGGAATAACGCGCCATCTATATATATATATATAAAATGAGAGGATATAAGCACAAATGTTTCTTTTAAATACAATACAAACTTCTACTGTCTTACTGCGATGAAAAAACATATTGGGAGAGCTTGGCTCATCAGTGGTGAACCCTCCCAGCGGTTTTGCCAATTTTTAATCCACCAGACCGTTTCTTTGAGCTCTAATACTGTATTGGAAGATTCTTCTTATTCTTCTAAATCTTCATACAATACAGTATTAGAGCCCTATGAAGTCGTCGGGTGGATTAAATTTGCGAAACCCCTGAGAGAGTTCACCACTGATGAGCCAAGCCCTTCCAATATATTTTTACATCACAGTAAGGATAGTAGAAGTTTGTATTGTATATGATTTAATGTAAAATATTATAATTATTAAAATGAAGAAAGGATAAGTAGACTATAAAAATATCAAGAGGTATATTATTCCTTCTATTGGTCTCCATAGTTCCACAGTTATCGGCATTGGACCTAGCCTTTGATGAACCAACACCATCTACAAGGCAGCAGTAGCAGAAATGGCATTTGCTCTATTTCGATGTTGTAGTTATACCGCCACTACTCGGTCGTCAGAGCCCTGTTATCCAGGATACACCACTAGGAGGTAGGGTTGACCTTTGACTGTGACAATTTATCTAGTCCAATAACAGCCCTATTACTAATTATAATGAAATTTTTATTCAAAATATTCGAAAGGTCATAAATTTTACCAGAAAGTTAATATAATCTAACTATACAATAAACATTAGTTTTCCAAGAAATGATTTCAAAATTAAATAGAATATAAAAGAAATTACTTAAATTAATTTAACATATTGGGATAATTTTGAATGGGTCAAAGTATATTGAATAAATAAATATATATTATGCTCTAATAAAGATGAATTAAAAATCTGGTAAATTTTAAAAGGTCAATAAATAAATATTGATATTAAAATACTAATCAAAACTTATTAAATTATAAATTTGGATGTGTTTAGGGTATTATTTGAGAGATAACAGTATATTTGTGAGATCTAACAGATGCTTGAAATAGAATATTTACTTTTACTATCATTTCTTTAAGTTGTTAATAAAATGGAAGTAGCTTACTTTTATCAGTGTATCTATTTAATTATAAAGGAGCGCTTTTCATTTATCATTACAGTTCGTTTAAACTTTGTGTATCAAAAACAATGTATCTTTCTATTGTTTGCGAGTGCGATGTGCGTATCGTGTGTTTTGTTTGTGTATGACCCATTATGCATCTGCCTAGGCAGAGAGCAAGATAGAACCTAGAATATGGCCGCAAAGAGAACGGCAATTGGGGTCATAATTATCATCATGATGATTTGTAAAGCACTTTGGCACATTTAATTCATATCGTAATATAACCACGCATGGTTAAATCTTTTTATTTCGCTGAATACCATAAAGATCTAGAACAATAATGTTCAAATAGATATTTGAAAATAGAATCCGCTAGAGATGCATCTTAATCGATTAGACAATTTTCAAATTATTCTCTTATCCTCTAAAAGAATAATATTTTCTCATTAATTTTGAAAAATATTATTCGTGTTTACAGAAATTGTCAATTAATCATCGTGTTTTTGAAAATCTACAAAAACTATTTATTTTTGAGACTTTTCATTTCTACAACTACACTAGTGGAGAAGAAAACGCCACAGCCAGAACGAACTGATCGAATATCGTGACACTTGTCATGAATGTACAGTTTTTAACATAGACATAATGTTTAAAATACAAAGTTTCGCATTTTTAAACAAATTTTGATGTCATTTGTGTTAACTGTTCACGTCTTTCTCCAACTTATTCTGGGTTTAACATTTCCTATTTCCACTAGTGTTGCTGTTATCATTAATTTTATGATAGTTGTTGATTACATTAGCGCACGAAATGAGGATGTAGGGATGTATGTGTGCATGGATGTTTTTCTTCATTAGCACACACTCACAGTAATTTATACAAAATAGAAATACATTTTTAAAAATCAAATTCAACAAGAATTATTTTCTAAATGATTGGAATAAACAAAAATGGGTCTCTTACCGATAGAAAGGTTCGCAAGTATGTGCTCAAAGGGTTTAGCAAAATAATCATTAACAAAATTTTGACAATTAACAATATATAAAAATGTTCAGAAGGACAATTATTTCAAAGATTAATGAAACTAAATGATTAGAATATATTTATTTATAAATTCGGTTGATCTTTGAAATAATTGGCCTTATGAAAATGTTTATATATTGTTAAATTGAAATATTCTGTTAAGGATTATTCTGATAAACCTTTGAACATACATTTATTTATGTAACATGCCTAATTGAACATATTATGTTCATACAACACGAGAACATAAAACTAAACGATGTCTCTATCTTTAACACAAATAAAATATTTATCATAATAAAGAAACGCGCGGTTTACATTTTTATAACATATAGAATACAGTTGAACCTAATTTCTTATTTGTGTGAAGGATGATAAATTCACACGTTTTATCTTTTTTTGTATGGAAAGAGAACTTGATTTTATTGATAAATTGTGCCTATTTCTGAGAATCAATAGGTTTATGAAATTTCTGAAAAACAGAGAGTCTAGATAATTCACCTCTATATTCTACAACTAAAGAATATAAATTTATATATAAATATTAAAATAATAAAAAGGCATATGTTGGATTGATTAGAATATTTATTTGTCAATCTTTTGGTTGGCTAAACGCTAACCTTTATCAAGGTATTACATTTTTGTATAAACAAACTCAGCGCCGCATAGTGATATTATAAAACTATGCGGCGCTGAGTTTGTTTATACAAAAATGTAATGCTTTCATAAAATTTGGCTCTAAGCCAACAGTATTATTGGCAAATGAAAATTTTATTCAAACCAATATATGCCTTTTTATCAAATAATAATAAATATGGATTGTTCTATTTTCATAACAATATATAATATATTTATATATTAATATTCTTGTCTATAGGGAATCTCCTAACCAGAGTTAGGATATCTGTTCCCTATTCTTCACATATGATCCCCTCGATAGCGATGTATTCTGTCCAGTAATATTTTAATTTAGTATATTTACCTACTCTATTACCTTAAATATTGAAACATATCCATTTAATTCTGATTTATGTTCAAAAATATCTTTCTGGCAGTTTTATGAATATGCTCCCCCTCCTTCCCCCATCTCATTCGTCTTGGTTTGGAACCAGCTCTATGTTTCCCTGCTCCCAAAGTTCCACAGTTATCGGCAGTTGTTCTAACCTTTAGTGAACCAACACCCAACTACACAGAAGAAATGGCATTTGCTCCATTCCGATGTGGTAGTTATACCGCCACTACTCGGTCGTCAGAGCCCTGTCAGCGTTATCCAGGCTGCACCACGAGGAGGTAGGGTTGACATTTGACCGTGACATTATATCAACAGTCCATTAGCAGCCCTAAACTAAATATAATGAAACTAAAAATTAAAATAATCAAATTTTTTTTCAAAAATTTAATATAATTTAACCAATATAATAAAAAATCAATTCAAAGAAATGAATTAAAGACAAAATCGAATTGATTGAAAGAAATTATTCATAGAAATTTAACATAGCAGAATATAAAATATAATAAGTTGGAAAAATTATTCAAATAACTTAAATAAAAATTAATTTAATCAATAAATTCATTTTTTTATAATTATTTTTATATCATAAACCTTTTTTTGTGAAAATTATTCAAATCCATTCCAAATCCCTCAAAGTTTATATTGAAATTAATTTCTCTAAGAGTTTAAAACATA